TTTAGATTAGATATTAGGAATAACTTCTTTACTGTGAGGTTGGTGAGGCACTGGAACAGGTTGCCCAGAGAGATTGTGGATGTCCCATCTGGATAGGGCTCTGAGCAGCCTGGTCTAATGGAAGGTGTCCCTGGCCACAGCAATGAGGGGGTTGGAACTAAATGATCTTTAAGGTCCCTTCCAAGTCAAGCCATTCTATGATTCTATGATTCTATGATTTTATGATTCTGTGTATTAATTAGAGAGACCAAGTCTGACTATTCAGTTTGTTGAGTAATTTTAGATGCAGCCTCTGAAAATTATTTGTCTAAGTTTCTAGTTACCTGATAGAATTGCTGTATTAATTAACAGCTACATTTTAGGGTCAATTAAATGCCTAACATGGTCTGACTGACTCTTATAATAAAGCTCTGCTTCTTGCCTCAAGTATCTGCTGAGAATCTAGTGTGCCTGGATTTGAGTAAAACACTGAAGTGCATTCTTTGCTGAATATCAGTAGTCTGGATGGATTTGGGGAAACATCTCAGGGTATTTTATCTCCAGTATTCAAGACTCTTTGGAAATCAGCATGACTGGTCATACACGATAACAGACTCTCTCCTATTTTGTGCTTGGTTTGACTTTGTAAGAGAGACAAGGCTGTAGTTTCCAGCACTTCTCAGCTTTTCAGGATCTCACTTGAAATCACGGTATCCCAGCATTAGCTTTTGGTATGGATAGTGGTACCGAAGATGAAGTATTTTAGAGAAAAGGTTTTTTTGGTGGTGTGAATTTTGCTTTCCCTTTATGTTGAAAGCATACATGTTGCAGATATAAAACCTTTGGTAATTTATTAAGGGTTTTACTCTCTGGCTTGAAATTCAATTGAAGACTGTGAAAGACTTCTCACAGAAAAAAAACTTGACAAATTTATGTCTTGTAAGATATTATTATATCCCTCTGGATCCAAGAGTAAAGTAATCGAACAGCAGCATATTAATAGGAAAAATATTTAATTGCTGTCAGGATACAACTTTTGAATTATTCCCTCAGGAAAAAACGTTTTTACAAATATCTACTCTGTTTCACTCTTTTGTTCTTAAGTAAATAACACATTAAAACTGCAAATGTGTTTTTAATAATATGCTTTAAGTTGAAATGCATTTTTATATGTTTTAGATATATATCAAGAATGTAAAAAAATAATAATACAGTATATATGTATTTTCATAGGGGCTTATTGTTAAGTTGTTCTTGTTTTAAAATTTAAAGAATTATTTTAAAAGTGTTTAAAAACAGCTTAATCCTATAAATGAATTATTTACTCCTTATAAAAGTAGTTTTTTCCTCTCTATGATGTCTTAATTTTTTCTTATTTTACTAGTTATTTTTTATGACTTTTAGCAGTGGAGAGAGTTCTCTGTGTGTAGGGAGTTTTTGTTTTCAGTTTTGGTGGATTTTTTTGAGAAAATCTGAAATTTTGAAGCTATGCTCTTAGATCACAAGTTTTTGCAAGTTATTTATGTATTCGCAGATCTCTATAATACTAGTTAACACTAATTTTGTGTAATTAAACAAATAGTGAGTTCTGGAGTATGGCAGTGCAAGAAGGGCATAGATAGGTATCAAGTAAAGAAGCAGCAGTTACATAGGATAATCAAGGAGAAATTATTTTTAAAGATATAACAAAGTACTGAATGCAGATGTCTCTAATGTCAATGTTGCTGGCATAAAATATTTTTTGAGCTTATTTGGGGAGTTTGTTAATTTATGTCTCAATTTTTATGTTCTAGATTAAATGTTAGATTAACTAACATTTTTCATTATAACCCCCTTTTTTACAGTTGTAAATTCATCCAGAAGTTTGTGTGCCAGCAGTCTGTATCATAATGACTTTTAACAGGAATTTTAATATTGTCATTTTTCAGACTGTGTACTTTTCCCAATTCATGCATTTTTGCAGCTTTTAAAATATTCACCAAATTGTGGGCTTACAGCTTTCAGTGACTTTCAGTCAAGATGTTTGATTTGATAGCTACCTTTAGAGCTTCTCAGTGTATCATCCATGTTCCAGCTCAGTAGAGCTGCATTTGCAGTGCACTTCCCGCTCTCAGCTTCTGAGAGCAGAGGGTGAAAGAATTGATGTCGTGGCCAGCTGCTGTGGATGTAGCTCATGGCCTGGAATTTAACAAAGCATGGGACGAAGAGGAAGGTGAAAGGGACAGAGTCTTTAAGACTTAGATGTGGGGAGGAACGCATGGGAATGTAGCTTAGTATCAAAGGGTTTGAGGTTAAGGAGGAGTTAAAATACGCAACCTAAAGAAAGGACACCAAAGCCAGAAGCAGAAGGAAACAGAAGACGGATGATAGCAAATAATGGGCAGGGAAGAAAGGCAGCAAAGGGTAGGTAGATGGTGAGAACAGGAAAATCAGCAGGTTAGCCAAGACAGGTATATGAGAGGATCTTGCTACAGCAGGAGCTTGGTGGAGAAGGATGCATGAATTAAGGGGATATGAAATAACAAGGAGGAAGACCATCAAGGAAACTAGGGGCAAGAAGCTGAAACTGGGAAGGAAAACAGGAAAAGAAAGTAGAGAACAATGTGGATAAACAGAAATGTTTTTGAGCACTTCTATACACGTCTGCATGCTGGAGCTGATGTTTATTCCCACCTGAACAATTCTCTATTGCTGAGCAAATAGCTGTGAAACGTGAAGGCAAAGTGCGTTGTGTTTTGCCTGTGGTGGGCCAGCGCACACAGGAGAGTTGCTTTTTGGCGTTACTGTTGAGTCCATTACTGAAAATTGGAGAGCTCTGTACCATGGATCCGAGCTTACTGCCAGCTCTTCAGGTGGCAGTGTTGTTCATGGATTTATTGCTGTTCTTGTTGCAATTTTGAAGGTTATACAGGTGTAAGGAAGGATGCTAAAAATAAAACTAAAAGATCTTTAATATGAAGATAAGCTTTCTAAACTTACAGAACTGCAGTAGCTAATGAAACTGCAAACTGTCTCGTGGTTATGCATATGATAATAATATGCTGTTTAAAAAGAGCTTCTGCATATGATCCTGTAGATGGTAAGCTATTAAAGATTTTATGAATTAGAGAGTGGTACAACTTGTATTTCATAATTAGCATCTAAATATTTGTAGAAAAAGAGTAAAAAATAATCTCTTCTTGTAAATGTATCCTTTTCTTCCTTGGGTTCTTTGTTGCTTCTACTAGATCACTACTCTTACTAGCACACAGGCATCTGGCAGTATTATTATAGAGATGTGTTTTATAAAGTAAGATGGTGAAGATGTATTTCCTGAAGTGTACATAAAAAAATATGTTTTCTAAAATATATATAGCATATCTAAGTGTAGAGAGGATTGGCAATAAATATCTGATTTTAATGATAAATTAGGATTTTCACCTGGTAACTTTTAAATTACTTATAGAGTTTGTAGGAATGTTGTTAGGAAAGTGTATGAAGAGATGTTCCATTAAAAAACTCTTATTCTGGGCCCTAATCCTTTAAAGACTCAAAAAAAATCACTTGTGCACTCAGAAAGCAGTATTAGCAAACTCTTCCACTAACGTATTTTAGGTGCCTAAGTGAGAGTGAAAAATGCCTAAAGTGCAGCTATGGATATAAACCTCATTGAGAAGTGACTATTTCCTTCAAGATCTAAAACTAAGCTCAGAAGTGATGGTTTGGATTTTGGTTTGGTAAGGGTTTTGTCTCCCTGTTTAAAGTCAGTGTAAGCTAAATGGCAGGATGATCTACTTTTTTTTTTCAGATAAAATTTAAAGATATCTCTTGTTTATTTTAGATCAAGTGTTTATATACTTCTGTTATTGCAAAATAACATTAGGAAAAGTTTTTCTCATTTCTAATGACACTATTGCATTTTTATTAATACACTATGACAATGCCCAAACGGATGAAAAAAACCCCAAGGTTCAGTGTTTACGGATATGTTCTGTTAAACTAGTGTTACCACAGAAGTATTTCAGCCGTATTCCTACTGTATCTGTCTCATGTCTAGCCTACATCATTCTCTTATGTCCCTCCAAATACCACCTATATGCTTCCTCTTTATAAAGAAAACTGTGCTCCAAAATGCGCTGCCCATTATTCTTTCTATTGCAATTCCTGCCTTGTCCTCTTTCTCCTTGGAGTGCACAGTTACATCAGTCCTCTATCACTGAAAACTGCCAGTGAAGTTGGTAGTTTTCTGCTACCAAGTCAGCCCTCTACAGCTGTAGTATATTTAATCAAACTGTGGTGGTTTCCTTGGCTTTCCATAAACTCGTATATACTCACTGTGGTGTTATGCTCTGATGCCTTTCCTCCCAAATCCTACCCACAGTGCCCTCCTTGACCCGATAGGCTGATGGCTTCCAGACCACTGTAATTCATGGGCTTATTCTTGATGTACATAGTATAAATGTTTGTCCCAAGTGAAATAGAAGATTGCAGCCTTGTACCTGCTGTTGATACTATTTGCTCTATTTGTGTGGCTGTTTTCCCTGGTGCTCTGTTATCCATTACCAGCTCCTGTGCCTCTCTGTCTGTACAGTACCTGTCATCATGGTATTGATCTCTGCAGATTCTAGAGTGTGCTTTACTGTTCTGTCCTTAACTGTAGCCTATTTTGTGGAGTATTCTCTCTTGTGAGCATTTGCTATGGAGATAGTGGGGAAGAGGAGAGCTGTGAATGCAGTGCTTTGGGGCCCGTTCTTGGAGGATGACTAGGCAAAGCAAAAAGTAGACAAGGCGCACAATGAATTTCTGAGGTGAAATTCCTGAAAAAGCAGAGGTCCAAATAAATGCATTATTATGTGGTTTTCTTTTTATATTAATAGGCCACATTGTTTTCATATTGAGATGTTAATTTGAATCATAGTAAAGGTTTTGTATTTGCTTCATCAAACTACTGCACTTGAAAATTCATACATGCAGAAGTAACCATTCATATGACTTTCTCTGCTTGAGAGATTACACATTTCTTTCTACTCATATTCTTCCAGGTGACTTGGATTATTACTGGCTGGATCCTGCCACGTGGCACAGCAGGGAGACGTCCCCTATTAGTTCGGTAAGAAATATAAAAAAAGAGGTTCATAAATATGAATTAAAATGTTTGCTAATTATTTCAGTTCTGCATAGTTATTTGGCTGTAAAAAAGTATTCTATAGAAATTATATGAAGACTTGGTTTAGAGGACCATGGAAATGGAAATCAGAAAGAAATTTTCATCAAAGTGTATATTTGTAGAATTGCCTGAATTTTAACTTGAATTTAATTCTTTCATAGTCATGACACTAGAGTTCACTACAAACCACAAAAAAAGCAGTTGTGAGTGTGATGCTGCTCTGGGAGAGATTGGTGATTTTTTCTATTGACTTGGAGTTGGAAAGGATCATTTTGATTTTATTATAGAGTGAACATCCATATGGTAGAACTGCATAACGTGTATTATTCTAAAGAACAGAATTTCCGAATGCGCTTTTCAAGGTCATGTAATTTAAAAGTAAATGTTTAATTTTATTACCTAGGGTGCGTTTTGAACATTTAATTCTATTGAACTTTAAAATGTATTATAATTCTACCTGCAAACTTAGTGCTGAGATTTTCTTGCTGAGGGCATAAATGTTTAATGTTGCCAAAGTCCAACATATATAATAATAGAAAGCTCGGGTGCAATATGTAACACATCTGAAGGATGTTCGTGTCTACTGTGACATAATGATATAGAAATTGTATTGTTTTATACATGTGCATCTAAATACTGGAAGATGTTCACACTTCTTTAATTCCACTGCTTGGGGTTTTTTTAACAGCATCCCGTAACGTGGCAGCCTTCCAAAGAGGGAGATCGCTTAATTGGGCGTGTTATTCTTAACAAGAGAACAACTATGCCAAAAGAATCAGGTGCATTACTGGGGCTAAAAGTAAGTATTATGTGGTTTGTCTGCTAAATGAAAGAAAGCTCCACTGACCTTAGACATAGAGATCTAACACACTAAATCAGAGGACACTCCAATCATATGGTCTTCTGACAAAAAAATGGATTCCTCTTTTTGAGTAACTTTTGAAAGCTATATATATAACTTGTGAATGTAAATACATTTGCTCCTTCTATGCACTATTCCAGTCATCCATGACAAAAGAGCTGAACTGTTTTGATTAAAAAGGGTATGTTTGTTCAGCTTCCTGTCTGCAAGACATATACTGCCCATTGCAATACACTAGTGGAGTCCTGCCTTTTCTAGCTCTCCTGTTTGCAATTCAGTCGAGTAATACATTTTATAATCCACACACATAAATATCATATGAATGCAATTGTTTACAAGGTCATTTTTTAAAATCCACACAACCATTGGAAAATTGAAATTTTGTAGAAGGAAACTAAAAATTTACACAAAAATTTGCAAAAAACCCTCTTAAATCATGGTAGAGATTAAATTAAATGTAATTCCTTAATCCAGTGCCCTAAAACTGAGACATTGGCAGCATTGTTCAATTGATTTAAATCCCTAACTTGGTCATTTGTAGCAGATTTTAGATTCATATCTCTAACTTGCAAGAACACTTAAAGTAGAGAGAGTGATACTTTTGAAGCTGGTGGAGAGTACAGTTCAAGCATTTCTCTCTCCATGCTTATATTTAAATCTATGGAACTCCAAAGATGACTGAGAGAGTTTAATTTGGGTGTCTTTCTCCACTAAGAACAACAGAAGCAATGCAAAATCTGAAATATTCCCACTGTGACATGAGATAGTGTGGCATGGTAAAACAAAAGATGAAAACAGCTTCACTCTACTTCATGTTTAGTGGTTTATAGCACAAGGCTGATTTTTGCTGGTGGCAAGCAATTCTATTTGAATATGTGAGAAAAAAGGTTGGTCCTAGTAGGAAATGTAGTAAGTAGAGTTTGTCTTTGATTTTTCAAGTTTTGTCAGTTTTGTGTAATATGAACTAAGGCCCTCACTGATAAATTTTACACATTATCATGTGATAACTTTGGCAGGTAGGCTTCTGGATCTTTTTTGATATTAATGCTCCTACTAGTTAATGTGATTGCATCATAGGGAACTCACTGAACCAACATTCCACTGTTTTTATTACAAAACTCCTGCCAGGATATTCTTGGGGAAAAAAAGCCAAAAAAAACCCACCTGAGTGGGGAGAGTAAGACAGCTAAAGAGAATAGCGGGTCAGCAAGACTGCATTTTCTTTGTTTATATTTTATTTAAAATCTGAGCCCTTGAGAGTACTTTTTTTTTTTTGATGTTCCTGTATCTTGTACTCCTCTTCAAAAACAGATATGTTCAGTTCTGTTTAACAAAAGCCAGAAGTCGGTGGTTTGTCCTGTCATATGCTTGGATGAGAGGGCCTGGGTTCACACGCTTTTGAAGTGGTTGCCCATATTTCATAGCAGTATATTTACTTAGTTTTCAATTGTTGTACCAATTGCATTTTGTGATTTCATACACTTGATTTGATGCGCACTTGCAATTTAAATTTGAGCACATGACAGACAATTTTTTGTAAAAAGTGCATTTGCTTGGTTATTAATTAAGTCGTGCTCTTTCTGCAACAGATGCAGATACTTAGCAAACTTCATAAGATTGATTAGTCAAACACATTTAAAGGAATATTGATTTTATTCATTCTGTGTTAACTTTACTAGCTTTACTTACTTTTGTCTTTAGGCCTCTGTAAAATCCAAATTGACAATAGATTTGCTTATGCATATTTCAGGTTTAATTTTTTAAAAAATGTGAAAACTGATCTGTCTATATGTTTATGCGTGATATGATGTCTGATTTGTGGCTTGGAGACTCACAAATTTATGATTAACCAGGTTGTTGGAGGAAAAATGACAGAATTAGGTCGACTTGGTGCCTTCATTACCAAAGTGAAGAAAGGTAGCTTGGCTGATGTGGTGGGGCATCTCAGAGCAGGTAAATCAATCAGTTGCATATAAAATATATTGTCTTTTAATAATAGCCTGTCAAATGCAAATTTTAATTTATATTAACATTCATCATATGATATGCTAATATTTTTAAAATACAATGCTGTAATGTTATTATGGAATGCCACTGTAATGTATTATGGAATACCATGGTTGCCTACATTTCTTATTAGCTCCAATTGCTTGGATGTATTAGCAAAATAAAAGAAACTCCTCAGTAATTCTGGTGTCAGGACTAAGTATCACTGGTAAATTTATGTTTGATAGCTCAGGAGCTGCTTGTTACACTCTACAGGAGCAATGCAAACATTTTTTTAAACTGATTGTGACAAACAAAACTCACTACAGTTATTTTATCTGTACTATAGTGTCACCTGAAGGATGACACACTGCATACACAGTGGATTTTATTAGTGCTTCTTTCAGTGTGAATTGTTACAAATAAAAATGGAAAACAAGCCAAGAAAATGATCCTGAAATATTTCATTTCTGTAAGATATATATATTGCATTTACAAATAACTGGATGTGCTGTTGGTACTTTTTAAGCTTCTAAATGGAATGAGAATTATGCACAGCAGTTGGTTTTCAAAGTAACTTCTTGATGGTTTATATTTTTATCATGGCTCTAAGCAAGAGCTTTCCAAATGTTGTCTTAGCAAACCAAAGCCAGTGCAGCATCCCAGGAACCCAGATGTTCCATGTCAACCTGTATAAATTTAGGATAATTGCAGGAAGCAGATAGTAATAGAGAAGTAGAAAGGATATGAATCTCTAAAAATATCCTTTGTTTTGGCATTTGTTAATTTTTTTTTACTGAGTCAATATACTTGGGATTGATAGCACCAACTATTATAGTTGCATATAGACTTTAAATGCAGCTTATAGTTAAAGAAAATAAGTTCCTCCCCGCTAACCTTGAACTATTTGGACTGAAATAATAAATTTCTAATGTCTGGTCTAGAGATTTTTTTTAAAATCAAGGCTATTTTTAATTTCTAAAAATAGTTTTATAGCCAGAATTATTTCATGGAGAAAATACATTGTTTTGCACATATTTTCAATGCATGAAAGGCTGTTTGTCCTATTGTATGGGAATAAAACACACAAAAAAGGTGTGGACAAGTCCTTGTTGTTAGGAAAATGCACTTTTACCCTTACAGAAAACCTCCAAAATTTGTCTAGTTGATAAATCTTTGAGTAATTATACAAACCTCTTAAATTTTAATAACAGCAAATATGAAGTCTTGCATGAGGATCAGAACATCACAGTAATCACTAGGAGCCAATCAACTAGAGACCAGCTTGGCAAAGAAGTGTCTGGAGGTGCTGGAGGACAGTCAGTTGAACATGAGTCAGCAAAGTGCCCTTGCAGCAAGTGCCAGTCATGCAGAGGACTGTATTAACACAGTTGTAGCCAGCAGATTGAGAGAGGTGATTGTTGCTCTTATTCAGTGCTTATAAGACCATATCTGGTGTCCTGTGTCCAGTTTGGGCTTGTCTAGTTCAAAAGAGGTACTGTCAGACTGGACTAGGTTGGGCAGAGGGACAGAAAATTAATTAAGCATGTGAGATACAAGAAGCTGAGAAAAATGTTTTTGTTCAGACTGGCAATAAAAAGACTATTGGAGGGTCTAATTCTTGTTTTTAGCTGGCTAACGGGAGGCAATAGAAACCCCAGAGCTGGAACTGTTCTTAGAGGTGATCACACAAGATCACACCGATCACACAAGAACCAACATGCACAAGCTGGAATGAGGGATATCCTCTTTGTGAAAACCCTTTTTCTTGTAACCAGAGAGGTCAGTTAAGACTTGGAAGAGGTTACCCATGGGAGGAATATCCTTCCTTTGAGAGACTCAAATGTCATCTGGTCAAATTCCTGAGCAACACGGTCTATCCTTTGATGGTGGCCCTACTTTGAGTGGGGGTTTGAACTAGCTGACCCCCAGAGGTATCTCCCAATCCAAGTTACTATTTCAGAAATCAATATTTCAAAAAAGCCCAGAGATTTTCAGCCTAATCTGAAAACTATCACTGCTGAACATGAATCAGTAAGTGGGGGTAAAATGCAAGATCCATTAATATTCCTTCCTAGAGGCATCTTAGATATCCTGGGATATATGCCTCACCTGCAGAAGTGCCTCCATAAGAGTGCAAGTGTCTTGTAGGTCTGCCAGCTGGCTTTGTGCAGATATTTTGGTTGTCCTAAACATCTGCAGTGTAAGGTGTTAAACAGCTGCTTCACTGACTGACATCCAACTCTGAGCTACTACAGTGGGATGCAGGACCAGGGAGTTTATCTCACCTGAAACTGTAGCAGTGCATCACAGGATCGTAGAATGGTTGAGGTGGATAGGGACCTCTTGATATCCCTAGTCCAGCTCCACTGCTTAAGTAGAGTCAACTAGAGCAGCTTGCACAGGACTGTGTCAGGTATATGTCCGAGTTTTGACTATCTGAATGGTGTTTTACTGTTCCATTACTGTTACTGAGAGCAGAAATCAGATCGTAAGTCTTATATACATCATCTTAGGTGAAAGAGACAATGTAAAAGGGCTTGGCTGGTCAAAAAGATAAGAACTGAGTAAAAGATGAATGGTGGCGATTTGATTATTATTAGCAGAGGTGGCATTTCACTCAAATCTCCATTTGGATCTAGTTTTCAGAAAGAGTAATTGGAATCAGTTCTGTTAATTTAGCATTCTGACTATGATGATCTAATGTTTAATCATCTGGGCAATTTTTTTATTTATTTTGATCTCCTAATGGCTCTCAAAAGTAAAAAAAAGCTTCTTAAGTCCTCTAAATAGTCGTACAGACCCCTTACATGTTCCTCTTTAAGATTCTTAATCATGTTGTATATAGTTTGTCTTCTTCAAAATATGATAGATTCATTCCTGTGTAAATTAGGTTTAAATCCTCGTTTTTTAGTGTTACAAATTTCACATATGCCCCTGTCGGTTCCTTTTTTGCCCTTAAAATTGTAGCTATTGCAAAGCCGACTGCCTCTTGTTCCTTTTCATGACTGGGATGCTTTTATCTCTAAAGTTATCTCTGAAGAAATTAGATTTTATTTTAGGGGGAAAAAGAAGTGTTAGTTTATAACAGTTGTTAGCTTTAAAATTGAGTCAGAATTGCAGAAGAAACTGAGTCTGTTTTCACTAGGTTGCATATATTTTAAAGGAAATTCCTAGGCAGTATCTAATTCTTGTTCCCCCCAACAGAATGTTATGTAATAAATATCGGAAGTATTTTAAAACATATTATCTAAACAGCGTGGTAGAAAATTAAACTTAAGTCAGCAAACATTTGTTAAATCTGTCATTAGCAAGCACTCGTGTTTTAAAGAATGCTTTGAAAGCCAGTGGAATATCGTGTGGATATTCCTGTGGATATATCCTGTAGAGTACTTTCTTAAAGTACCAAAATATAGACTGTTTTGGAAAAAGGACTGACAATCGCTGAACAGAAGGAGAAATTGAAGCAATATGTTTTATTAGATAGGACTTAAGTTAGGATAGTTTTTCTTGGCTTCTTAACAAGTGCAAGTTTGATCATTAGGCTTGTGTCTCCTCAGAAAGGAGCAGAGCCAGAATGTGAAGGGTTTTTTCTAAACTGAGTCTGATAAAGTCATTGTCATAAAAGCCATTGTCAATAGAGACAATAAATTTAATAAAATACTTTGGCATGAGAGAGTGGTTATGAATTTTTGGCTGCTGCGTATGATGGGGTGTAAGAGATAAAACGTACCCTACGGTTCCTGCAGCCTAATTGTATATACTGATCTTTCTTCAGAAAAAATACTTCAAGATTTTCACCTTTTTATAAAAAGGCCAAATTACAATGTAATGTACATACTGTTTAAATTTTAGAAATGACGAACTGAAAAAAGAAGATTATCTAAATGACTTTCAGTTCACGTTTTCCTTTGTGTCCCCCCCAGCATCCTCAGGAGACAGGGGCTCACTCATTGCTTTTATTTTTGATTTGTTTGACATAGATAGTGAAGGCTGTCCTTTCTGTAGGGAAATCAAGATGTAGAGTATGTAAATTGTAATAAAACATCATGATTTTTAAAGGCTTAATAGTAGGTATTTATGTTTTTATTTTTTGAAGATTAACCTATTTTCCAGGTTCATTACAGCTACTTAATAAAGGCTCTTTTAAAAATAATTTCATTTCATAGCACAATAATAGGTCCTGTATTATTTTGGAAATACTTAATACTTTGCACAAGTGGTTTCTTTAATACGTTTTCTGTTTACAAAGTGTTCAGAGAAGGAAGCCTTGATAGTGTCTCAAAACCCTTTTTTTTTTGTTTCAGCACAGCTTTTTAAATTATTTCAGGTAATGTTACTTGCTAATATAAATTTCATTCTTTATAAAAAATATGAAAATGAAATAAACTTCTCTTTAAATTCAAGGAGATGAAGTTCTAGAATGGAATGGTAAACCATTACCTGGAGCTACAAATGAAGAAGTTTACAACATTATTTTAGAATCAAAATCAGAACCTCAAGTTGAAATTATTGTTTCAAGGCCTATTGGGTAAGGCTAAAGACTTGTTTCTTAAGCACAGTTATTACTTCTGCTAATGGGTCTTCTAAAGGGATTATTTGTGAGTTCATTATTTTTTATTGCTTAATAATGGAATATGATTCACTTTCTATTACTGACATTCAATATATTCCATTTTCTTCACTACCATTTACAATCTTGGATCTTTGCAGTGACAAATGTATATGTATATATAAGTATAAATGTTGTTCTCTGTATGGTCAAAGGAACCTGACGGTGTTTGCCAGGTGGCAAAGGAAAATTGGTGAATTAAGTAAGCCTCTGCTTTTCAGCATGGTTTTCAGGTTTTCAGCTTCACTAGATCAGAATAAATTATACAAGTCTTCATGAGTTATAGAGAAGCATTTCAGGTTCCTAAGAAGTCAATGCTAGTAGGATTTTAAACAGGTCTTCTTTGAAGAGCTTAAAAAAGGAAACGTAACACTAAATTGAAAATGCTGTATTTATCCTTAAATGATTGTCATCAAAGTCAAAAATGGAAATAAAAGATTTCATCAAATATTAGCATTAACATTTTATGTTTATAATCTTTTTTTTCATTTATTATGAATCAAGCTTCATAACAATTCTTATTTTCTTGGTAGCCCAAATAGAGCGTAGAAAGAAAATAAAATCTGTTTGGATTGCTAAGATTAGAGGGGTTGGCCCTGCAATTGTCATAGTTGTTTTATTGATATCAAGAATGTTTTGAACTGTGTTACGGGAGTGAATATGAATCATATATTTTAAATTCACATTTATATTGCAGAACAGAGTCATGTGATTAACAATAAAAAGTGAATCTTGGCTAGTTAAAAAAAATTCAAATTAAAAGGCTTTAAATCTTCTTATAGTTTGTCACCTTCTCAGATTTCATGTGCAGTCACTGTATATCTCTAAATAACTGCCCTATAGATAGATGATAAACTGTCTCCTCCTTACACGTGATTATTTCATTTTGAATTTGCTATTTTTCATCCTAATTATAATTTTTACTTGTCTCAAATGATATATTTTCAGCTTTAGAAACAAAAAGCTATTTTATTTCTGATTAAAACATTCTTCTTTTACATTTTGATTTTTGATTTTGTCTATACTCTGTGTATGTAGCTATATTTTGCAAATAGATTATGCCTTTGAATGATCCCCCACAGATGAAGACTGTGGGGGAATAAAAACCTTATTTTACATTTTTTGAGTAAGATAAATGAGCAGACGTTCTAGACTGAAAATTGCAAATTCAATCCTACATCTTTGTAATTTAAAATAAAATGCCTTAAAAGAATTTTTGAAGTCGAGTTTTTATGATCAAATGATCAAAAAAGAGATATGTTGATACTGGACATGACTTAATTCCGTGTCTCAGTGGAAGAAGACCTGGAAAATTATTTGTACAACTGATATAAAAGCAAAGTTCTAGATTAGTATTTTAAATAATTTGATCAATATAATTGCAAATGTTATGTGTCAAACTTTAAAGTATTAAAACTTTTTTTAGTATTTCAATACTAAGCCAGTTGAATTATTTTAGTTTACATATTTGATAAATCTAATAATTTTGAAAAATGAAGTACAAGGGGACCTCATTCCAGTGACATATTCCTGAAAAAAACTGAAAGAACATACTACACTTTTTGGAAGTGTGTTTAAAATCAAATAACGTTCCTGAATATGAGCAGTGGATTTTACACTTAAAAAATGCACCCAGAAATAGTACCAATAAAATGTAAAGTTTTGCTTTGGCTGACGCATACATAGTTTTCCCATATATAGTAAAAATAGAGCACATCAGATTGTGCTTTTATTTTGAGATAAATGGAGTCTTGGCATGGAGGTTTTTTATGTAATGTAACACTATTCATGTAAAGCTGTGTCTCAATTTTTTTTCTTTTGCTTGAGGGTTGGGTTGTTTTGGGTTTTTTTAACGAGAAGAACAGATGAATATCCCAAAGTGACTAGAACATATAACTTTGAAATTTACAGATAGTTCTTTTTTTTCCAGCAGTAATGAGTCAAAGCCCTGTTGTTTTGTATCAGATTGGGATTTACCTGTCTGTTGTCTTAAAATAAACAAAAATTTCAGACATACAACAGAGGAAATTCTGATATTATTAAACAAAAAGAAAGAGCATACTGCACAGGCTTTTTTTTTTTTTAATAATCTATGTAAATTGTGTTGTATAATGGGAAATGCTTTTCTTGCATTAACAGATTACTTTGATTTTCTCCCTACCTTCACCTTGTCTTGTTTACCAAACTGACATTGTTTCAAGCTCATGACCAGGAATTTTATTTCATCCCATCCAGCAAATTTGGTATATCAAAGTTCTGGTGGCTACTTTAGACGCTGACTCAGCAAAATTGAAGCTGCTTTATACAGCATGAAGTGATAATCCATTACAGCTTAAATTCCTGTGAGGGAATAGGTTCCCGAAAGGCTCAAAAAATGTTATTTTGTCTGCATAATTTAAGTGTTTTCATCTCTCAGTATTAATAATGCAAATAATGTGGCAGAACAGTTAATGGTCTTGATTTAAAAATTCCTAGCATATTAGGTCTAAAAAGCCAAAATATAACACAGTTTGTTTTAAGTGAATAATGGAAGGACTGTAAGCACACAAATTAGACTGCCCGCAAATTAGACTGCCAGTTACAAAATTGCTGTCCAAACAATTTGCTCAGTCTTGTAAATTTGGATTTCTGTGTCTACCAGCAAATGTAATTTTGAGTAATGGATGATTGTAGGATGTTTATTAGAGAAAAATGTGAAGCACATAACACTATTAGCAGATGAAGGCATAACAATAATAAACAATATAACCACAATAGTACCATGAAAACTGCATAGAAGCTAATTGGCACTAGTGCTAATGACTGCAACACAAGGTAGATAAGAAACCTATAAAAAGTAGAATTATTGGGTTGGCTATCTAAATATGAGGGGAAGAATTACCTATGAATATGCATACAATGTGAGAGGTGATTAACATAGGACAGCATAGAAAATCCTCTGGCAGTGTGCTTTTTGGAGAAGAAACGTGGCATGGTAACTAACTGTCTCTTGTGTGCTTGGATGAGCTCTATGGGATAGTGCAGGTAAAACAAATGTTTTTTTTCCTTTACCTTTCTTTTCTTTGTCGGATGCTAGCTATCTTTGCTTGGATTTCCAAAACTGCTGAAAGTGTTGTTTTTCTGGTGTGATTCAGCTCCTCTATGTGGGCACCATTACTGTGCTCTAGGTCCCTGCAAGGGGGCTGAACCTCCATCATAAACCAGGCAGTACTGAACTCCAGAGAGCTTCTCAAGTGTTGCAATTAGTGCATATTGCAGATTGATCTACAGGTTCTGATGGGAAGGAATGGTTTTGGAAGTAGCAGAGTGAGCATCGGGGAGAGGTACTCAGAAACTCTTTAAAACTCTCTAGGGTGAAGAAGATGATACGTCTGTTCCTAGAGCAACCTGAAAAAGTGTGGGTTACAGCCATGTTTGAATTAGGTTTGCCTTCTGACTATATCAGTCAGAGAAATTATAGCTGTTCCTGTGTTTTACAAAATATATGTCTCACAAACCATATATCTGCAGAGTAGTTTCAACCTAAGGTATTTGGTGTAATTTATGTATTCATTGAGGTGTGAAAGGATCAGACATAAGATAAAAACGTGTAATATCACAGAAGACCACAAAGTACCTTAGCCTTCCAAGGTAGAGATAGAAAGACAAAGTTTGATGTTGGGAGCTCTTTACTGGATGCGTGTCTCACACTACTTTTCTCACATTCATATTACTCCAAAAGGGGAGTGAAATTACAGTTGTGCAACTTTTCCCTTTGTTTTTATAATTTTCTTTGACTAGTCTAATTTTGAATATTTTAAGTCATGAGCTAGTGCTTCTTCTGAAGAGCTTTTTTGTAAATCATAGTTTCAGAATATTTTCTGCAATCCAAAATTAAAAGCTGGCTAGATAAGACCAATTTTTTTACATAAAAAGTTTTAGGTTATAGTTTCCTTTTAGAATTTTCATTCTTTAATAAAATGCTAACATTAAAAAAATACCACTCACATATTTGATAGTCTAGTACTCCGGTTACCTTTCTTTTGTGCATCTAACATTTAAGAAATTATTATGTAAACTGGATTATTGAATTTGTAAGAAATTCACATATAGATAGAAGGATAGGTATACTTCGGTACATTTTAAAATCAACAGCAGAAAGCAGAACTGTTACAGAGCTTATTAGAATACTCTGACACAAGTTTGGTGATCAGTGCATACTTTCTTTCCTTATCTATTTTTTTATTTTATTTTTGTGCCTTGCACTGTGAAACTCTACTTAAACAAGATAAATATATTAGGGAAGAGATTTTCTGGCAATAATTTGTATATATATACACACACATGCACATGCATAATATATGTCTCTCTATACAAATATATATCTAAATACTATGTCTTTTATATATATAAATGATATGTATATATATTTTTTAAAACCTGTCCATTGTACTGTTAAGTTTTAGAGATTTCAAATAACATTTCTATTGAACCGTGTATTTTGTCTGGAATTGAAATGTATGTTCTATCTACCTCGTATTTTTTCTGTCAAGGAAACAAAGAGTTTAGACAAATGCATTTTTAAAATTGTATTTTCAATTATTTTCTGTCTGATAAGTAAAGTATTAGGAAAGGTGTGATTGTTTTTGTCATTTACCAGTACTGCAGATGAGAGTGTTCATATTCTAGCACAAGAAAACATTGCAAACTTAACATTGTATTGAACAGAAAAATCTGTTTGAGTATGGTAAGTAAATATTTCAGGTGGGGAAAAATGCCCTCGAAATACTCCTCTGCAAAGAGAGAAAATGTTATGAGGAAGAAGTCTGCATAGCAGCTCTGCTGTGCATCAGGTCATTAATCTTTTCATATGTTTGTAAAGTAGTGCTGTGCCTTGTCAAGAATGTCTAATTCAGTTATATTTCCATGAGTTTGAGGAAACCACATTACCCTTGTCTTACAAAGTCAAGACAAGGAGAAGCACATTCTTGTTTAGTGATATGAGATGTAAGCTAATGTGAGACATTAACTCAGAGCTGAAATAGTCTATTTTAAAACACAGGCACCATAAGTTTAAAATGCAGGACATGAAAAGTGAATTTAAGATTGATTGGGCACTGCAACATTCCTTTTCTGATACAAGTGTCTGTTTCTTTTTCATAAGTGACTTTTATATACCTAGGAGTCTTAATTTTATTGACTTCCAAGTCAGTAAAATAGTGTTTCACTGAACAGACAAATGCCTGAATACCTTTAAAATGCTCAACTATAGACTTAAAAAATCTTGTAAATCTTCTTCAGAAATGTTATTGTAGTTCCAATTTTGGATTAGTTTGTTTGGATGAAAATATTTTGGAGTAATTCACCGAAGACATTTGTTTCCATTTTCCTGCTCATCTGCTTTACTAAGATTTGTACAATAGCAGTTGTTTCTTGCTCTTGCAATGCATTTTCAATGATGGCTAGGAATAGAAGAGAACCAGAAGCTAGCATCATCCACATTTGGATAGAAGTGTAAATTTGTTGATGACAAAATTTGATATATATTTGTGCACTTAACCAGTTTGATTTTGCTTATTGCCTGTATATGTGCTGGGTATGTGTATGTTGAAAAATGTCCGTACCCAACTGTAAAATAGTTTGATTTTTTTTTTAATCTTTTGGAAAAATGCATTATCCCGTTTGTCTAACATTGCTAATGTCATTTGTTTTTCTTTTTTATTATTTTAAGACATTTTCATCAGTTTCATTGTTTGAACTCCTTGAGACGTTTATATAAAAATTACTAGTGAGTTAATCTTTGTCTTATTTTTTTGATTTTTATTCCTCCAAAAATAGTTGAACATCCATAGCTGTGCTTCGTTTTGCCACCGTTCTCTTCCTAAGAGCTCTCTTACTTTATTCTGGTTGTAAAAGTATCATGTAATCCATCCACAATATTAACATTGCAGTGCTCATATTGGTACATCTGATTGTTCCTTAACCCAAAAGAAGTAGTTTGCATTAGTAAGATTTTTGTGAATGCTCGTGGAAAGTATGATTTTAGATATTTCCTCTTTCTTTCCTTGTAACCCATTAGAACAGAAACAGATCCTAAAACTGTTCCAGAAGTGTATTTGTCACAGCTGAAGTTGATCACTGTTGTTTCTAATTACTACGTGTTCACATTTTAGTGATATTCCACGGATTCCTGAGACTTCTCACCCCCCATTAGAGTCTAGTGAGTACACTCCTTGTTCTGTCTTCTAAGCATGATAATGTACCTAGCACAATTGTTTCAGCTATAAATTTTCTTGAATCTTTTGAAATTCTATGAATTTATATGAAAGATGATCACTGGAAATCACATTGGTGCTGAGATTTTTGTGTGACAAAATTTGGTGGGTTTTGGTCTTGTGTGTTAAATGTGAAGCAATACAGATTTTAATAGAGCTATACAGATTTCAAATGTTAGCATAATTTCCTTATTTTCTTCTATACCTTTTGTTGTTAGTACCCTACTTGTATATATGCTATGGCCCAAAACAGTCATTTACTTGCCCTAACAAAAGAGAGAAAACAGGTATAAGAGACTGCCAAAAGTACAAATGGTGTTGGGATTTCACCTCCTGCACCATTCAGCATAAGCCCAGTGTTCTTGCTTCTCTTTTTCTTGACAGTGTTCTTAGATAAGTGCTGGTTAGGTGAATTTTTTGTGTGTCGTGCTTCAAAAGAAGGGTGTTCTTTTCAGCTCTGCCATTTGAACGTAGTTAGCTTGAGTATGTGAGGGCCATGGCTCCCACTCCTTTGTCATCTGAGCCTTTTCTGAGATGCAACCAGAAATGCTCCCTGGGACAGGGCCTCGTGCAGTCAACGAGTGCTGTTAAACCTGTCATGAGCTCATATCATTACTGAGGGCTCTGTTTCACTGGTGGAAAGTTGATAATGTTCAGCACTTGCTGGAACACCCTGCATGCCAGATGCATGTGCTGCACAGCTTCCTATTAAAATTTCAGAGGCTACCAGAAATATAAACCATAAAACAGATATGGTTTCTTCATCAAAGATTTGAGATCATACAATCAGAATAGTTTGGGTGGGAAGGAAGATGTATATTTCTATGAGAGAACAATATTTTATTTACAACACTTGCTATGGTTTGTCAATGATATATGAGGAGCACTTTTTTATATGTTACTTCAAATAACACAAAAAATGACAGGTTTAATCTGGGGTAAGGGTAAGGAGGCAGTCTTTTCACCATGCTGTCTACATCAGTTTAAAATCTTTCTGCCTATTAATCCAGTTATAGTGTGTATAAGTACAAACTTTATACAATTCAAAGAAAAAGCAATTCATAAGTTATCCAAATTTGCTTCAAAATTTGGAATGGTAACTTCATTTGTTTCTCACTTGGTTTTAGGTTCAAGTTCTTTTGAATCTCAGAAGATGGAAAGGCCTTCTATTTCTGTTATATCTCCGACCAGCCCTGGAGCCCTACGGGATGCACCACAAGTCCTACCAGGCCAGCTTTCTGTGAGCATATTTTGTTTCTTGAGTTGTTAATTGAAATTTATGAAGTGCTGGTCCTCAGCCCTGCACATTCCCAAGGTCTGTTGGGAGATCAAGAGAAATGTCTGTTGCTGCTAAAGACTAACATCTTTCAAATGTTTTTTAACACCTTCTCTATGCACTCACAAGCCAGTACTGTAATCATAGTGGAAGTAAGGAATTGTCTTAATACCTAAAGAGCACAGGAATTTACCTTGAAAGGAGCCCGTAAAAGTGTCTTGGAACTTGGCATCTTGGGGCCCCTGCACTGAAAATGGTGACTTTTCTGTACCTGCCCAGTAATCTGCAGATAACAAGCCTAAGTATCACTTTATCCTCTTTAAGGGGACATTTAAAGAGCTGTGTATTTGTTAAGCATTTGTTAAGCGTTGTTAATGCATTCAGTAGTGCATTTTAATTTAGATACACAGTACATCCTGGAACTGTCTGTAATACTAATTGAAGTTCTTCTTATTAAATATACTGTAAGTACTTAGACTTTGTTTTGTACATTCTTACATTTTTATATTGATCGTATTAATTTCTAAGTATACAGCAGGCTCAAAAATTTCATAATATTATGATTCTCTTAAGAAATTATTTAGCTTTATATTATATTTTTCATAAGAACATTTGAAAGGGTTACAAATTTGAGTACATAGATTTCAACTATGTCTTGAGTTTAGCTGCATTCAGGGCTTACTGTTTAATGTAGTTTTAAGCTTCAGAGCTAAGATATATGATGGTTTAAATGCACTCACAGATACAAGATTATGCAGTGAGTATAGTAAATAATGTAAGTATAATCAGGCACCACCATTTTATTCAGGTGTGGTAAATAAAAAAGTCAGGTATACACCATCATCTTTTTCATCAAAGTTAAATATTAAGGGATTTGAAATAAAAACATCTTATTGTCTCTTAGAAAAAACATTGGTTACTTTTACATTGTGGTTACTGTGATGCATTCTGAAAATTCTGTTTTTTCTTCATTTTCAGTAATGTTAACTTGATTCTTCTAGGTTAAACTCTGGTATGACAAAGTGGGACATCAGTTAATAGTAAATGTTCTGCAAGCAACAGATTTGCCACCAAGAGTAGATGGACGCCCTAGAAATCCCTATGTAAAAATGTATTTTCTTCCAGACAGAAGGTAGTAGAATTTCAGTTTAGAAAATTATGTTGTAATTTACCATGTATTGAATTAACTTTTAATGAATGATTATGAAGTAAAGAACTCCTTTTTACAACTTTTTACAGCTAGATAATTTATAACAAAAAAATGCGCTTCAATCATGCAAGTCAGTATCAAGTTAACTTTGTGGACTTTTGTATGAATGCAATTCACTGTACAGCAAATGCTTTTTTCATGTAGGCATTATCAGATCAGAAAGAATGAAAACAGTTGAGTGCTAATGAGTAGATGGCATTTTGCGATTTATCTCTACAGACAATTTACAATCACTATTTATGTTTCAGTGATAAGAGTAAAAGAAGGACCAAAACAGTAAAGAAAAGTCTAGAGCCAAAATGGAACCAAACTTTTCTCTACTCACACGTACATCGTAGAGATTTTAGAGAACGAATGCTTGAAATAACTGTGTGGGACCAGCCAAGAGTACAAGAAGAAGAGAGTGAATTTCTTGGAGAGGTGATACATACAATCATATTTCTTTTGAGTTCATTTGGTTTTGAATACATATGTATATGTGTATTTTATATGTTTATGTGTGTGCCTTCAAAAAGTAAAATTAAAACCTGATGATTTTTATACTAGATTCTTATAGAGCTGGAGACAGCACTTTTAGATGATGAACCACATTGGTATAAGCTACAGACACATGATGAATCTTCACTACCTCTGCCTCAGCCATCACCTTTCATGCCAAGAAGACATGTTCATGGTGGAGAAAGCACTAGCAAAAAATTACAAAGTAGGTCCAAATTCCATTAAACTCTTTTAAATTTTAAATGCTATATATGGTATAAGGGTATTTAAATTCCTTATACAAGATAAAAATACTATTTCATAGTCTTTAAAAATAATAAAAATGTGTGGCAGAAAGGAGATGTAAATTATGACATTATGACATGCCAGCCTTATGCTTCCAATGTATAGCTTTCAAGTAGGTGAAAACTGTTGCAATTGATTGGTTTTCTATAGCAGAAGAAAATTGTTCAGAGTTTTTTTGCATAAATTTCCTTTTAAATAGAAAGGTCATAATTATTGGATACTTTTTTAATCAATAAAAGCATTTTATTTTAAAACAAGGAAGTCCTTAAAAGACTTACAAGGCTTAAAAACACTTTATGCATAAAGTTAGTCTCAACCTCCGGTATGGTCATTATACAATCAGACAAGATATGTACTGTGGCAGCAAAGAGAAATTGTATGCATGTGTTTGGGAAGTACAGTTGTTTTCATGAGTCTGATTTCAGGTTTGTATGAGACACGTTAAAAGAAGGAATGTATTGAAATATTTGAATACTGTAGCTTCTCTGTTAATTTAAATTAATTTAAGATTTATTTAGGTATATGAAGGGTGTAGGGCATTATTTTAAAATACATTTCCAAGCTATTTTCTGATCTTTTTGAAACATGGAAGTCATTCACTCCAGCCAATGTGTAGGAAATGGGTGAACACTCAGGAATAAATTATAAATATATCATACTGCTGTAATTGCTGCATACATGCCCAAACAGAGGATATGTATAGACAGAGCAAATTAAAGGTTAGTTTTCATGAGATATTTGAGCTTTTCTAAAAGCTGGCAGTGCTGTTTCCGCTCCTCCTCTCTCACCATATGCTGCCTCATCTCCCTTCCTGTTCAGCAAGCTGATTCAGCTTATTCACAGAAATAGCACAAAAGAGATTTTTTCCCTTTATCTGAGTTTTGCTTTCTGCAGGCTTAGTGAAATAAACTATTCTAGTAGAGGATTACTGAGGAATTGAGAGAAAGAGAAAGGAGGCTGCAGCAGCTGTAAGATGTTAAATTGGCACAGCTGTCTTATGAAATGTCGATTAGTCATTGCAGTTTAGTTCTCTATTGTTTTCACTTTAAATCATCTTTTTAGTTTCAGTAGTATGTTAAATGAACATATTCTTACATTTTATAACACAACCAGATGTTCAGGTATTTGTTTACCTTACTGTTGTGCAGGATCTCGGCCAATCAGTGATAGTGACATCTCAGATTATGATGTTGATGATGGTATTGGAGTTGTTCCTCCAGGTGCGTGGGTGAAGAGCATGGTCCTGCTTTCTTCTTCTACTTCTTCTTTTTTGCTTGTTTGTTTTTGTTTCTTTACAACATTCTGGAATATTGAGGATGCTGGTTTCGGAGAGTACATTGTGAAAAGAAACAGTTTTCCTGATTATTCCATGGTACTTGTACTAAATTGTGGAGAATTAAAAGATTCTACTATTCATTCATTTATATTTCTTTTACATATCATGCTTTTTATGTGAACCACTGGTTCATTCAAATTGTTTAATTGTTTACTGCATAATGCTCCAAGCATTATTTAAAATATAAATTAAATTTTAAAAATCCACGCATTTTAAAATAGTAATTAATATTTCAGTGTTTATTGAAAGTGTATTTTGTTATTTTGCTTTTTGCTTGAAATTAGATATAATGCAGTCTCCCATGGACTTTATGATAATGCATGGCTGTAGATTAAGATGCATGTAGCATGGCTATATCTTTTATAGTTTTTGTAAGCCTTCATGAACTATCATTACCCTAAATGTTCATAAATATATACTTTTAGAGATTGTCATGGTTTGACTTTTAATTCAGCATTCCTTACATACTGAAAATCTTGAGGATTATCTTGGATACAACATTTTTCTAGTTCTATTTGACTGTTGCCACATGCCAGATAAATACGTTTCCCAATTGTCCCAAGCTAATTGAAGAGACACTATGTCATTGCTAGCACTAAATCAGTTTCTGTGGATCTTCCTGATGAAAATCACTGAATTGAATCATGGTGAGATTTGGAAAACTCTCTATCTGTGTTTAAAATAATCTCACAATTTATTTATCCACTATATAAACAGACAAATAAATCACATATTTTTTAATGCAGTATCATTTTGATGTTTACTGAGCCAAATTCTCCTTCTTTTGATGCTGATTGGGTTCTTTCATTAATTTAATACACTTAGCACCTGAGTTGCTAAGAGAGAAATTTGCTCATGTATGTCTAGTTATGATATTTGCTTTGATATTTTTGCATCAGCAGAGAGAGTGAACATTTAAAATGAAAATAAATTATAGGTTCTAAATATTTTTCCTGTCTATTACTTCTTTTCTTTTTTTTTCTGTAGTTGACAATGTAGTCTATCTATGGCATATCTTTGTAGACTTACTTATATTTAAGATTTTAGTGTATTAAAAACAGGGGCATTTTTTCAACTGCTGGTCCTTCAGTAGATCCATTTGAAAGGAATAGTTTTCCATTTGACAGAAAACATTCAAAATGGTTCAGCTGAATATATTGGACTTTGTTCACTGGGTCAACATTTGAGTAACTGATTCTTACTGAAATTTCTTGGGACTTCATGCTCAGATGTGCCTTTGAAGAATGCATGTCTTCAAGCTTCCTCAGAGATCATTGCAGAAAAGAGCAGGATTTAATCTTTAGAATTGGATTTGCAATGAGCTGAGAGTCTCCAAACTGAAAATCGAAGGGTCTAGTGAGGAAACTCCTTCTGAAGTCCACCTAATTTGAAACATTCTATTAGTTGACCTGACTAAGCACAAATTTGTCCATTTTGAGTTTAATGGATACATTTGTTCAGCAATTGTAAGTGGAGTTCATGTGTTTGTGATTCCTATGTAAAGTGGATATGCATATGAGTGTGGGAGTTTTGTTTGCCAATGCACCTTGAGTTCTTAAAAGGGTGTTAAACTTTAGGCACACAGGGCCAAAGGAAATTTGAGTCATCAGCCACAAATATACAACAGCCAAGATGGCATATGTAAATGTATTTTGCAGTAAGACCTAGAAAAGGTTGCTAGTCCCACTGTCTGTTGAATTGCTTGAAAATCTTAGGTGCAGATTCACAAAGTTGACTGGAGATCAAGTTTATATATGCATTTCTACCCTCCTGTCCAACCTTCCTTATTTATCACACTGCTAAATCATCTAAGACTTTGGACTGCTACCTTCATTTGCACTGAATGAGTAATACAGTATCTTCTCCATTTAATAGTTTCCTCCGTTAAAGGAAGTTCCTTGTCATGTTGCAGGGCCTTTACCCCTGCTTTTCTACTGTCCTTCAGAACCATGGTCCTCACCAGACTATATCCCAGCTCTTCTCTGGTTCAGATTTCCCATGCATCCTTTTGCAAGGTATGCATGCAGGAAGGAAGAGTGAGTATCCACATTGTAGTACGGTGACACACCATTTTGGCATAGCCTCTAGTGGCCTCAACTAGATTAGTCTAGGATTAAGATGTTCCTTCTCAACAGAAGTACGGATATCAAATTTGAGTTTACAAAATGTGACATAAAAGAAAATATTTCCCTTTAAATATTTCCCTTTTCCTTCCTTTACCACTTTTTTTGTCAGTGTTACCCACCAATATGCTTATATATGATAAATAAGCTCTGTCGTTTTTAAAGGTATATGCATAGAATTGTCGAAACATTAAGGTTGGAAAAGGCCTCTAAGATCATGTAGTCCAACTGTTAAACCAGCACCGCTGTGTTCACCACTAAACCATGTCCTCAGTGACACATCCACATGCTTTTTGAACAGTTCCAGGGATGATGATCCACCACTTCCCTGGGAAGCCTGTTCTAGTGCTCAACAACCTTTTCAGGGAAAAAAATTTTCCTAATATCTAGTCTAAACCTAACCTAGCACAAATTGAGTCCATTTCCTCTTTTCCTGTCACTTGTTACCTGTGAGAAGAGGCCAGTCCCCACCTCAACACAACCTCCTTTCTGGTAGTTGTAGAGAGCAGTAAGGCCACCCTGAGCCTCCTTTTCTCCAGACTAAACATTCCCAGCTCCCTCAGCTGCTCCTCATAGGACTTACTCTCCAGACCCTTCAGCTTCGTTACCCTTCTCTGGACACACTCCAGCACCTTATTATCTTGTAGTTAGGGGCTCAAAACTGAAGAGAGGATTTGAGGTGCTGCCTCACCAGTGCTGAGTGCAGGCGGACACTCACTGCCCTGGTCCCACTGGCCACGCTATTTCTGATACAGGCTGGGATGCCATTGGCCTTCTTGGCTGCCTGTGCACTCTGCTGGCTCATGTTAAACTGGCTGTTGACCAGACCCCCAGGTCCTTTTCTGCCGAGCTGCTTTGCAGCCACTTTGCCCCACGCCTGTAGTGCTGCATGGGGCTGTTGTGACCCAGGTGCACTTGGCCTTGTGTAACCTCATACTGTTGGCCTTGGTCCGTGGATCCAGCCTGTCCTCTGCAGAGCCTTCCTGCCCTCCAGGAGTCAACACTCACCCAACTTGGTGTTATCTGCAAACTGACTGAGGGTGTACTCGATCCCCTTGTCCAGATCATTAATAAAGACATAAAACTGGGCTGGCCCCAACACTAGGCCTTGGGGAACCCCACTAGTGGCCATCCACCAGCTGGATATAACTCCATTCACCACCATTCTCAAAGCCCTGCCTTCCAGCCAGTTTTTTGCCCAATGAACAGTGCACTCGTCCAAGCCATGAGCTGCCAGAGTCTGTGGGAGAATCCTGTGGGAAACAGTGTCAAACACTTTACTAAAGTCTAGGTAGACTACCTCCACAGTTTGGTCCTCATCCACTAAGAGGGTGACCTTGTCATAAAAGTTAATCAGGTTAGTCAGGCAGAATCTGCTTTAAAGTTGTTAATTTATACATTTTCCTGAAATATTGAGAAAAGAAGGAAGTTATTTTGCCCCTTAATTTCTCAAGATTTTCACAAAGGTTATTGCTCATTTTCTAAAAAACTAACACATAACTACAAAATTTCACTTCATCTCCAGGAAAACTAAAGAAATGAATGATAAAAATATTTTGACTAGTTTAACTAACATTGGAAATTCCTGAAACAATAGTTTCAAGTGTTTTATGAATTGCTAAAGTAAATGCAGTATTAGAATTTAGTAATAACAAAGAAAACTATTTTTCTAGAGGTTTCAGCAGCTGCAAAGAATCATTGCTTGTAAATGGAAGTAAAGACTGCTATGTCAAAAATACTGGCACTTTGATAACTTCCAGAATATTTGAAGAAAAGTATTTTTCCCTTATCAAAAATACATCTTATCTTTCATGTAATTGTACCATCCTCATTTATTATTAGTATCTTGCAGTGATATATGTATCATTTTTTAATCAACTCATAGAACTGTTCATAAAAGGAGTTTATATCAATAGCTGAAAGTAACTTTAATTTGAAGTTCTGCTTTAAAAAAAGTGATTTTGACAGGTTTTTCTGGTATGCCAACGCCTACTTACATGAAGAAAATATTATTTTAAATCTCTCAACCTCTTCTTATATGAGAGACGCTCAAGTTTCTGAAGGATCTTTGTGATCCTGAGCTGGTCTTACACCAGTCACTCTGTGCCTGTATTGCACTGGGAAGCCCAGTACTCCAGAAGGATCAATAAAAGATTTAATAAAACCCAAACCTGTTTCGAAGCCCATCTGTTTAACCAAAACTTTAGTAGTTTTCTTAATTAAAATGAAAAAAATCTGATATCCAGCTGGCAGTATCCCAAGGAGTATTTCTAGTAAGGTGTCTTGCTTATATTATGGATAACTCTTCAGAATAGTTTATTTTTCTATCATATATTACCTGTATAAACAGTTGGATTATATTTACCTGCCTCCTGTAGCAGCAGGGCGATATTAACACAATACCTTGTTGTTGTCTGTATTATCTGTAAGAAAATTAAAATAATTCTGGTATCAAACATATGCTAGAACCATTTTCATCATCCATCATGTATTCATTTTCTATCACACCTGACAGTTTCCCATGAGCAACTGAGAAACTTCTTCTGCATAAACTACCATAAGCTTGATTGCTGCTGTCATGCTGGTCCATGCAAAATTTTTCTCTGCTCACCCTGAAGAGCACAGAGCTTTTATATGAGGAGATGTTACTGTTGCTGTCACTGTCATGGTCACTGTGAAAGTATGGATGTGATTTGACCAACCTGGCAATGCTTGAGCTAATACTTAGGATAAGTATGAATCACTGTTGCTCTGTCTGTTCTGTAAGCTTTGTGTACACACACTGCATAAGTTTAGGGTATTGTTCCCTAGATAGCTTGGCTATGAAGAGTGTATAGCATAAAATCATCTTGCTATACCAGATTTTTAAGTGCACAGGATAATCCTAGGTGTAATTTTTTAGGAAGACTAGAAATACTCTAAAAATACTCTATATGTTAAATTGAAATCTGTATGTATTTTTTTTTATATTTAAATTATATGTATTTCAGTACAATCTCCTAAAGCTTGGAAAGAAATTTTGGATTTCTTTGATTTTCGTGTTGAACAAATGTAAACTACTTTTCCTTCTGATAGAGATGACAGGATTTTCTCTAACATTAGGTTTTTTTGAAAATGAAATATCTTTTAGCACATACAACACACATTTAGTCATCCTGGGAAAGGCAACACATCCAGCTTTTGTCGCGTATAGTCATTTTTCCTCTGACAGAAAACCCTGACATTTTTTGTAGCAATCTTAGTACATGAGATGAGGGAATCTCCGTTGAAGTCCTGATAGAGTCACTATTTTGCTTCAATATTTGCACCCAAACCTTGTCCTGAAATCAGGGAGATCCTCATGTTTCTTTATAATTTCATTAGAGAACTCTGAAATGCATCAAAAGCCGTGAAACATTGGCGTCCTTCTGTGTTAAAAGGTTGATAAACCTCGGTAGATACTTCCATGCTTTTACAGGCCATTAGAATACATTGGTAAACTGTTACACATTTGAGGAAAAAAGTGTGACTACCTCCTTGATGTTTATGATCAAGGTTCAGACTTGCAGGTAAACAGCAATTAAGTCATTGAATACATGATCAAGTCTAATACAGACGCTGTATATGGGCCACACTTTTAAAAGAGGGCTTTAATATTTTGATAGAATATCAGAGAAGAACTACAAGAATTATACAAATTATATGAAAAATTATAAACCCCTCAAACTTTAAACTCTGTAACAAGATCCATAAAAATTACAACTTATTTAATTTATCCAGTTGTCAGTTGAGTGATGAATTCATAGTCTTTTCCTGCATGAAAGGATGATTTCTCATATAAGCTGTTTTTTTAGCTGAGCAAAATGACACATTACAGGAACTTTAGTGCTAAACAAATTCAGAGAAGGAACAAAATGATTATTTTGGAATCTAAGCAAGAATTTCTGAAGTGATTAAGGGATGACTTAAGGGATGAATTTTTCTATCATTAAGGGATTTTCTGTCAAGGGATTCTTGTAATCTAATTTAAATGTCTTGAAGTGAGCAAGGGAAGTCTGAGCAGATCTTCTTAGGCTCTTTTGGAAAGATAAGAGTTACCTTTTAAAAACTGTTGTCTGATTGAGCTTCATGGTCTATTTTAGGATGGAATTCATAGTGTACAGCAAGGCATGCTACATGGAAAAATGCACAACAATATAAATTATTTAAAATGTACTAACCTTCTGCTGATTTTTTTAAAAAATTCTTGTTGTGGTTTAAGCCCACCTGGAAATTAAACACTACAAAGACACTTGTTCAACCCCACCTCTCTTCCCCCCTACTCCGTTGGAATGGGGAGGAGAATCAAACTAAAACTTTTATGCTGAGATAAGAACAGTTTAATAATTGAAAATAAAGTAAAACACAGTAATAATGGTAAATTATAATAATAATGATAATAAAAAGGGAGAAACAAGTGATGTGAAATGCATTTGCTCACTACTCACTGACCAGTGCCAGACCCCACTTCCCAAACCCGGCTCCCTTTCCAGGTAACTCTCCTCAGTTCATATACTGGCCATGACATTCTATGGTGTGAAATATCCCTTTGGTCAGTTCAGGTCAGCTGTTCCAGCTATGCTACCTCCCAGTTTCTTTTGAGTACTTCCTCACTGGCAGAGTATGAGACAAGAAAATGAGTCCTTGACTTAGGAAAAACACAACTTAAGAAAAAACCAAAACATCAGTGTGTTACCAACACCATTCTCATTCCAAATGCAAAACACAGCACTGGAACAGCTACTGAGAAGAAATTAACCCACCACAGTTGATATCAGGACAATCCTATGTAAAAATGAACTACGAGAAATTTTGCCGCTTATTCATAATATTTGGAAAAAGTATTTGCAAAGTATGCAACACCCAATATTCTGTACACTATACTCTAAATGCTAGTAGTTTTTTTAGACAGGTGGCTTTATATTTAACTGAAATAAGAGGCAGAAAGGTGAGATATATGTGTATATATATATATATATATATATATATATAATATATGGGTAGTCCTGTATGAGTCTGTGCTGTCATATGCAAGTGTGCTTTTTCCATTTTTTGGATGAGGCCAACCTATATCGTTTAGATTCCTTTCAAATATTTGCTATATATAAACTAGCTATATATATAAATTGTATGACACTTTTGAACTACAAGGTACCTAGGGTAGTCTTCCCCAAGTCAGAAAACAATTTCAATTCCCTCCTCCACATCTTCCAGTACATAATAAAAATATCTCAGTTTTTCAGTCTCTGTACATGTAGACATTTAAAGGTAATGCTAGTAGTTTATCCTGCATGATACATCGGGACGAACAATAGCTGAATGATGACTTGAAAGTTGTGTAAGCATTTAGATAATGTGCTCCTGGAAGACTATCTGAATTCTTTCCAAACCCAGACCTTTATTGCCTAATTTCCTTTTGTTATCCTCTTGCCAGTAGGTTATAGATCTAGTACTAGAGAAAGTAAATCCACAACGCTAACTGTGCCAGAGCAGCAAAGAACAACACATCATCGTTCACGTTCTGTGTCTCCTCACCGTGGCGACGATCAGGGCAGGCCCCGTTCACGTTTACCAAATGTGCCATTACAGAGGTAGGCATCACAAGTTAATAAAATACTAGATGGTTGGAAGCTTGCATGATCTGTCATTATTAAATTTTGTCTTGTTCGGCAATTTTTCACTATTTTAAAGCTTACTTTGTATCTGAATTAAATAGTGCACTATTTGAACTTCTATCAACCTGTACTGCAATCCATTAAGCTGTGTTATTCATGCAAAAAAAAGATGATCATACATATTTCTGCCTTTCAGGAGTTTAGATGAAATTCATCAAATGAGAAGATCACGTTCTCCAACTAGACACCATGATGCCTCCAGAACTCCAGTTGATTACAGATCTAGAGAGATGGATAGTCAGTATTTGTCGGATCAAGAAAGGTACACTGTCAGCCTGAACGTGGAAAAAATTTTACAAATGTCTTTGTTGGTTTTCCTAATTGTCAGGTTTTCATTAGAAACATGACTGATAGCAATAGGGATGGGAGAGAATTCATCCTAACTGATAGATCTAGTGCTGTGGTTAAACTATCTATACCTTTTTTTTGTAAAGTTGCACACTGGGTTGATAATAATAGCACCTATCTAGAATAATGATCCTTGGGGTTTTGTCCTAGTATTCTGCTGCTTTTTCATGAATGAAGCCTAGAGATTTTTGCTAGAAAGCCATAAATCCACATGTATGCCCTAGCTATTCTTGTAATATATCAGACTTTACCAGTTTTGGTAGCCAGCAAAATACCAGGCATGCATTCTTACTAGTTGGGAGCTGCATGTGCTCTGATTTGCATCCATATGCTTATAGATTTTGGACATCTACATATGCAGTCTCACAACATTTTATGTAACATTCTGGTGAACTTTGTGCAGTATCCAAGCATAGCAAGGATAGTTGCAGTGCTGGGTGTAATTTGCAAAAATTTCCAGTCTAAAACGTGTGAGACATAAAGATCTCTCCCTGGAAAACATTGAGTGGCTACACTCCTCAGAGAATACTTGTTCTCTCATAGTAGGCACTATTTTCTGGTATCTAGGAATAATATTCTGATAAAATGGAAGAAATGAGAATTTCTGTTTAGTTTATAGCTGAAAAAAAGTTTAAAAAGGTATTTCAGCTCAGTATCTGTGAAACAATAGATTATCAATGGTTGAGGGTTCTTGTTTACTTTTAAAAAATTCATTTAGCTAGAATATAATGGCAAATTTTGCCATTCGTATAAGATCAATTATCCTAGTACAATGTTTGATTTTTTTTTTTGGGACTAAGCAACTACTTTTTATAACTCATGACAAAACCTTTCCAAATGATCCAGTAAAGTCAATATAGAACATAGTGATGTGAAAATGTGTAAACAGTAAATCATAAAAATCTCTGGAAATCTTTGTCCAGTTTTCAAGTAACATAGAGATCGAATAACAGGTGGCTTTTGCATCTAAACTAGTTCAGTTTTCTATGTGATCTTGCCTGCTTTCCTTTTGTAGTATGGTAACATATGTATAGGAATTCATTTGTTATTTGGAACATTTAAAAATTCAACTTTATAGGCACAGAATTGACTAAGTTGGATTATTATACTGAATTTCCTTTCAGAGGTGAATTTAAATGCTTTTTAAATATGGTAGTCAGATTTCTTGTCAGACTAATTCAAGTAATGTCCACCTGTCACAAATGTTTTCTCTTATTATTTAGGTAGTCATATAGTCAAGAGATTCCTGATGATATTTATGATTTAATGATAATGATAATGATTTCTTATTCAGCAGATTAGGGGAGGAAGAGGCTTTAAAACGTAGCTGTTGTCAGTATAAATATAGACAGTTAACTGTTTAGAATTTTTTCTTTTGGTAAAGCCTCAAACCGTGACTTAAGTGGTGGTATATGCATGAATTATGATTGGAGAGGAGCAGACCTTACACTGAAGCTTTCTTGGGGATGAGCCATCAAACCAGAGCTACAGCAGCAATGGGCTGCTGGATTTGTTCAGAGAAGTGAGACAGTTTTCAGTTCTTTTCGGTGTTTAGAAAACTTTTTTCAGAAGTTTAAAGATCAGGCATAAGTATGTACATGGCTTATTTGCAAGATTTAAAGATGGGTCCATGTACTTGCTCTCCTTGAATAATAATCTTGTCTGCAATGGTCTCCTCTTTGCCATTTTCCTTTTCATCTTTTCCCCATATTTCTTCAGTTGTGGAGGCTGTTTAACTCTTGCAGGTTTGGCTGGCTTTCAGTACATGAGAGTAGCATCATAGGAAAGATCAAAACCAGACAGTTGATGAAGATTCTCTGTCACATCCAAGAATTTTAAAAAAAATCTTAGTTAAGTATTATATATTAGTATCCAGGGTAGTATAACTATTATATGTTGTCCATCTACTGAACTCTTCATCTAAACAAGTACATTCATGTAGATACCTAACATAAATTTGGTTTCAAAGTTTAGTATTACTAAACCCAGGAGTTACATGGCAGAAATTACAATTGTTGGCTAATTTTGATAATTTTCTCAATGACCTCTTATTGATCCAAAATGAATATTGACTATTAATATATTCTGTGTTAATAGAGATATTTGTAAAAAAACAGTTATTATCAGTCTCTTGCAAATGCATCTCTTGTGATAAAAATTTCCAGTGAAACTGATTTGTCCACTTTAACTTTTCTATATGTGCTCGTATGCACATATACACACATATATGTGTATAGATATAAACTGTTAGGAAAAGCTTTTTATTAGGATATCTAGCTAGACACTTTGTTCAGAACTTAGGATCATTGTCCAATTTTCAAGAGCATGGTACTTTTTTTTGTTTGTTTGTTTTAATGTTTCTTTTATTCTTAAGCAAAATCTATTAATGTGAGTACTAAAATCCTCACATTAGAAAACACTTGGTTTAGAATAATAATCTTTATTTTAAATGCCTCCCAAACCAACTTAATTTATTAGAGAACTGTGAGCATCTTCTCACATTATTGGTAATCTGCTGTGATGGATTCTTTTGCTTTCTTTTTTTAATTAGAAGATTTCATGGTGGATTTGCTATTTTATATCACTTTTCTGAATGAATTTTATATTGGTGTTTGCTGTGGGCCAATTACAATAGATATTCTTTTTTTCTTAACAAAGTACCGTATGATTTAATGTAGACTTTGCATCTACTTTACAACTCTTAAGAAAAAAGTAGTTTTTTTCCTAAAAGGCATATTTGTTTGTAATTTGGAACCTGCTTATAAATTCTATCTGTCCTCTAAGCTTATGAACAGAAATTTTGCTTAAAAAGAAAATTAAAAAATTCAGTTTAACTTTAGTTCATTTTGTTGCATCAAAATGAGGCTAGTGGCTTCAGATGCAATTAAATCTCACACATGACTCACAAGCCATTATTTCAAGCTGCCCAGTTTAGAATTTTAGACAAATATTACCTGTACTGCATCAATGCAATGGAACATTTTATAATGGCATGAAGCATAAAACACATTGAACGACTACTGCTTTATCTGTTTTTTAATCTTTTCTCTCTTCTTTTTGCCATAGTACTTCATAGGATACCCTGCTTCTTTTAAATTAGCATTTTTCCGGGAAGTTTACCTTTAATTTCATATTTATGATAATTAGGAGGTTTGGAGCTTGGTCTTTCTGATTGTGTTGAAGTGTATAAATCTACAAGATTAATTCAACGGCTATTTCATATCATAGTCATATTTACCACAGGCATAAGTATGTATTAATTTTACCATCTTGCTGGGTGTAGTATGTGTTTGGTTACAGTAAATGAAAAATAGAATAGATAGTTGATTTTCCACAATTTGAAACAATAAGAAACAAAAAGTCTCATGGATGATTAGCTTTTTTTTTGTTTCTTTGGGATTGCATTACAAAATCAAGAGTATAAGTCAGAATTTATGTTTGGCCAAACACATTATTTCCAGTGAACACATATGTTTGATTTTCCCAAAAGGGTGACTGGCTACTCTTCCCATAAACCCATCTGCAGTAAGTCATTATCAAACCCTCCCTGCTTTTTCATGTATGATTTTGTGGCTTAAAAAGCCACAAAACCCAACACAAAACAAACAACAAGCGTCTTTTTTTTTTTCCCCTAAAGTATTTCTTCATGAATTAGTTCATGAGACAGGAGGTTATTAAAAAACTGTAACCTTATTATGTATTTATTACATCATGAAGAGCTCGGAAAAAGTAATTCTGAATTTTAAAGAGAAATCTCATAAAAGTAGGTGCCACACTAAAAGGAATTTGTTGAAAATGTAGTTATTACAGGCATTTTTTGGCTCATATTCTTTGAGAAGTGCAGTTGGAGTTTGAATGTTATCAGACTATCTATCTGGGTGGTTGCTTCTTGTTTCTTTTTATGTTTTCATTTGCATATCATTGGCATAATCCATGTCATCTAATGCTTCATAATTATATCTGTTTCACTCACCACCCATCCTGTCTGTGCAGTGAGCTTCTTATGCTGCCCAGAGCAAAACGAGGAAGAAGTGCAGAGTGCCTACATACCATCAGGTAAATACAGGAATTTGGTGATCATGAACACGTCTGGTTAGTTGTCTATATTTTGTGCGCCCAAATTGTTTTCCATGGTGGTATTTAGTCCAGTAAATAAAAAACTTCCAAGTACCTTGTGATCCAGATGTCAATTGATCTTGTTTGTTCGTTTTAACTCAGACTGAGACATGTATATGTGCTTGTGAACCTCAGTAGTAAGGATTAAAACAGTTGAAGAAATTTTGTTTTTGCAGTTATATTTTGTGGTGGATATTCGGTGTAGTCACAAAAGTCCTGAACTCCCAATGCATGACAGCATTGTTATTTCATTCATTTTCAGTTGTTTTTATGTTTTCTTTTATTTGCATTTTTGTCTTTATATTACAGCCACACACAATTCAACAACCTTTACTTGTTGTGACACCTAATCTCAGGCTGATTTACTCACATGTAGAGGAAAAAACATTGATTTACAGGGCCTTACTGGGAATCCCAGCTTTGAGGAGTCTTGTATTACTTGGTTTTGCATCTAAAAATTTTTCTATAAATTGGATCCAGATGTAAACTTTGTAGTTTGGGCTCATCTTCAGTCTTCATTAATGTCTTGATCCAAGGCTCAGAGCTCCATGTCTCACCGTTTCCCAAAACTGTGAAATTAAACGGGACTGAAATATCTTCATCTAAAAAAACAAATTCTGCTCCCCCACCATTTTTTTCACCATGTCTGATACACTTATTAAAAATTGCATAGAATATTTTCCATTTAGAATCAGTAAAAATGCAAGTTGAATTTAAAGTAGTTAACTCCTTCAACCAGGTAGTTATCCATTTGTCTGTTCAAGATCTGGGTGTTGCTAAAAGCTTTACATCAGTGCAAATGTTTAAAATCATCAAACTTAAAACCATATTGTCTAGTGCCATTATTCATTTACTTAATGTAGGATTTTCCCTTCCAAAGTAGTGCTTATTTTGTTTTAATATGCCTTGGCTTACTTTAATTTTTGTCACCAAATTTGAAACAGTATTGAAGATGCTCTGGTAGGATTCTGTTAGAAGGCACAGTAGTATGAAGCTAAAATAATAAATATGAACCTTTTCAGCGAGATCTGTTCATCAGTGAAGGTGTTAAATTAAAATTTAAGTGTTTATTATCAGTAGAAAGATTTTCATTCTTATACTTCAGCTAAAAAGGCTTTTTCCTCAAGATTTTAGGGTTTAATTTTTAAAAATTTATTTAATTCCCTGTTATTTTATATATGTTTATTGTCATATAATAGCAGTTTTTCCTGCCTCCTTCCTGTGTCCTTTCTGATGATATTCTATAGCTTCCACCCCCTCCGGCCCCCAGCCCTGAGCTTTCTCCTTTCCCTCTTAAAGATTACAATTGCCATTAGAATTTTTCAGTCACAATTCTTAAATTCTCAATTAATTAATATTTTATTATTAACTTTTGATGCACTTTGATCAACCATTATAGCTTTCCAACAGTTTTACAAATCTACTAAACAATTCTGGTCAGTTAACCAGCTAAAAGTTGTGCATGGGCAGCAACAGAGTTAGGTACGAGCGACACTGAATTCAGAGAGTATAGCCTGTTCTTGCATTTCTCCTTATTCCATTTGTTGCTGGTTTTTTTAATGATCAAAAAACCTAACATTCACCCTTTTAAAGTCATAGGAATGGTATACTGTAAAACAGAATGGTACTTATAATAATGTATTGAAGGTGAATATAAAGGCAATAAAAGACAATACATTGATTTTTTTTTTTTAATTTTGACTGAATACTTTTAAAAACAGTTTCAGCAAAAATTTGTTCTATGCCATCTTTTATCCTTGCTTATTTCTAGCAGCCTGACATTTAATTCATGTCAGAAACATTACAAGGCTTTATCCTTGTTTCCTAGACAGCTTGCTGGATAGTGTCTTGATTAGTAGTCAAGATATCTTCAGCATCAAAAAGGAAAGAAATGTTAATGGTTTCTTATTAAATGAAAGAAATTAGGTAGTCCAAGCTACACAGTTAAGATAATATGATGAGTTATAATATTCCAGCTAGGAATAATACTAGTCCAAACTGTCCATCCTGTCCATCTGTTTGCAGTTATTGACTAACAGTAGAAATGGTGGAAAGGTCTGTACCTTTGCTATAGACCACTGATTGTCACATTCCATGCCTCAAGTCACTCTTACTTTGATTGGTAGTATCTGCTCCTATGCCATAATTGACCAATTGTCCATAATTGATGGACAACCATTCCTTTGCTCCTCCTTCGCAACACTACAGTCACCTCTGACAGAGACGTCACCAGTGGTGGCCACTAAACTCAGACAAGAAGGGTCAAAGCTCCGCTATTAAATCCCTCAGGGTTTTACAAACACTAGGATTTCCAGGCAGAGAGTTGATTCATCTGTCTGTGACACAGCCAGGTTTGTAATGCTCATCTGCTGTGTCGAGGTTCAAGCCTTAACAGTAAAGAAAATGACCTATTAGGACAGACTGTTCTTGATGCTGCAAAATCCTCAAGGCTGCTAGTTCTTCTCCTAATAGCTCTGCACCTGTGTCCTGGTAGGGAATGTAGAAAGTTGTTAGAATTTTCTTATTAACCCCTAACCATTAAATGTCCATAATTCCCATTCAGCAGCCATTGTTCACCTTTAAATTTCCACCTTGTTCATTGGGTATAGCTGGATGGTAAAGTAAAACATTTCCTGTTCTAAAATCTATGATGATCTTAGACAGTTGTCATGTAACACCTCAGTGCTGCTGTGCTGGCTGATGTAGTAGATCTCCTAAGGTTTTTTTTAGTTTATTATTAATAACATTTAATTACTGTTAAATTTTGAAATTAAACTTTCAAAAGACTTCCACATTAAAAAAGCCAGACGCTAATACATCTCTAGTTAAATTTGTAATATTGTATATCCCTGTGTTAGCAAGATTTGCATGTTTAGATACTGGAGAGGTTAAAGTCTGTAGGTCTAAGTAAGGCATCTCTTAGAGAAATAAAGAGCAAATGTAATATCAACTTAATCCTTCACAATAGCCTGTATATTTTAATTTAAAGTATCTATGAATGGAATTTAGATTACCTTCATTTCAAGAAAACATCTCATCTGTACTAGTATTACCATGAGTTCATCCACTGTATTAAGAAAAGTGTAGATACAAAAATTTGTCCCCGGTTAGCTGTCACAGTAGTTGAGAAAAACAGATACTGAGAAATCTACTCATACAACTATAAATACAGAATATTATATAATACAGAATATTATGCATTTATTTTACATTCTGGTCAGTCTTGGCTTGCCTTTATCTGTCTTTTATTTCTGGCATATTTTTTTTGTTCTGTTTTCTTTTCTGTCCCACCACATTCAAGAAGTTCTGTTAGGCACTATAAAACATTACCACCCAAGATGCCTTTGCTAGAAAATGGTACTCATTGGAACCTGTACAGGTAAGAAGTCTTTAGAGTCCCCTTTAAACTCCTATAGAGTTCAAAGCTCCTTTTATAAAAAATGAATAGACTTATTAAATAATAAAAAACCCCAAACATAAAATGTTTCATACATTTTTATAACTGAAACATAAGGGATCAAATCCTAAAATGACATCATATAATTGTTTAAATTAATACCTACATTACAAAAAATCCAAACCAAGCTACTTTGTATTAGGTGAAGTTGTCTTCACTGTTAAAATTTTATGTTGCATGTTTTTCTTTCCTACATTCTTTTGTTTATGTATGAAATTTCTGTTACATGTCCAATTTACTTTCATTTTGTTTAAATAATTTTAATTTACAAAGCTCAACTCTTCCTGCATGTGCTAAGACCAAATCCGTGATTAGACAGGATATTTCACTCCTTCATGATTGCCTTAATTCACGAATATCGAAAGTTGGAGATGATCTGCCGGTTAGGTAAGAAACTGAGGATTAATCCCCCCCTTGTTTGGTATCTAATATGGACTTGCAGAATAAATAAGCTTCACTGTAAAGGGATTTCACATGACATATAGTGTATCACATTCTTTTATGTTGGCTTAATATTTACTGCTGTTAATAAGGATTTAAATTTATTGTTTGGTATTTCTCATTCCACTTTCCTTACAAGTGGATGCTGTTCTGTCTTATTCAGTTTTAAACATTTCAACAATCTTTACAAAAAATTTCTAGCAGTCTTTTGTTTGCTTTTGTTTTCTAAACAAATCTTGACACTATCATCCAGTCAGCTTTTTTATGTTTTCCTTAATTAAATCATTGTGATCCTACATTTTCTGTAAAGAGAGCATTATTTTATGAGTTAATATCTAACATTGTATTCCTTTCTTTGTTTTCTTTTTCTTTCTCTTCTACCATTGGATGCAATGCACTGGCACTAGTGAACTGCAGCCCTCCCTTGACAGGGCTAGGAGTGCTAGTACCAACTGCTTGAGACCAGATACTAGTTTGCATTCACCAGAACGAGAAAGGTATAAAATAAAAACTTATGGATTTCTTGTCATCTGTGCTGGTGATCTTTATCAGTTTTGTTTTTCTTCATATGAGTACTCTACATTCTCGTACATTCTTGTCTGCTTTGGTATTTGTATACATCTTTGCTCCTATATTCATGTATGTCATGTAAATTGTGTGTTGGAGTTTATAACTGCTTCTGGCTACTTTCCTTGTTTTGGTTCAAGCTGATGTTCATTGTTTACAAAAGTCCTCAGTATGCTGATAATAGCATTGCAGTGTTAAGTATTTTGAAACTTATCACCTGGTTGTGAATCTTCATCATCATTTGCTAAAAAGTTTTATATTTGTTTTTGATTGTTCTGTAGACTGCTAATAAAGCAGTGGCATAAATTATAAATGATTATAAAACTCTTATATTTCAAACCAGAGCTGCAGTTTGTTTAGTGATATATTTTTTACAAAACAGCCAAACTTCATTGCTTTCCTAATCTAATCTGCTGCTTCTGCTTTTGCGATTACAAGGCAAATCACTGCATTAAGTTTTTTTTCACTCTATGACATTATATTAAGGTTCACAGAAGTCTTAAGAAGACATGTTTGCAATTTATATGAAATATTGTTGTGTCACATATATTGTGCAGGCATGCTTTCTGTATTTTTACTCTTACAATAGCTTGGTTCAAAATTTTAGGTTAATCAAATACCGCTTGTGTATTTGACAAGTGAAATGATTCCACAAGGAAACTTTTCATAATCACCTGTGTTTGTAGCTAAGAGTTATACCATTTTAGAGTGAGATTTTATGTTCACTAAGGGCTATAATAGGCTCCCTTTGAGTGGAAATAGGATGGAATTATAATTTCGTCTGTACGATACATATTTAACTAATGTGGCAGTTAATAATGTTTTGCCAGTCAACCCACGGTATGATGGTTGTAACAGTTACATCATTTTCTTTATTGTGGGAGAGGACATGTGAAAAAAAGCACTAAGAATGCGCTTTTCTCTTTGAGATAGGGTTTCTCCTTTTTTTATTTGAAATTTCCCTTTCCTTTCTCCACACTTCCCACTGCTCCTCGGCTGGAACTGTGCTCTTTTCAAGTTGTACCTTTGTTGCAGAGGAGTGACTAATGCTCTGCTGAGATATCTCTGATGGATCTACAGTAGTTCATTCCTTTTTAAGACTGAGCTCAAGACACTATAGGAACATTGTTATTAAAAAAAACAACAAAAAAGTTCAGCTGAAGTAAAACCACTCAGATTGAAATACAGGATATTGTTCTAGATTTCTTTTTTTAAAATTGTATCATCATATCAATATGATGTAGATATATACAGCTGCATTCATCTACAACAAGTTATTTAATGTAATAACATATGGACATGAGCAGTATGTTTTGTGCTTATTTCAAGATGCCACCCATCAAGTTGAATATTCAATGAAGCAGTAACTGGCAATTATAAACTATCTAGTTAGAATCTTATACTCAAAACTACATCTGTCACTGATGTTAACTAGTTCTGTTATGTCTTTAATTCATGTGCAGCAACCTCTATCCAATGGCAATGTGCAGAATTTGAAACATTTTTCATGAGCTCTTCGTAATGAAAAGTATTTAGTCTCTATTAATGGCCTCTATTGCTACTAAATGTGGTTCTGCCAAATCATCAGTGGACCTGATCCTGAAAACTTGCCCATCACTATGAAAGTTTTTCTTAGCATTTAGAAGTCCTAAATAGGTGCTTTTGACTTGGGATCCTTCATCAGATCTTTTTTAGTAAATTCATATTCAGATTTTTTTTTGATGGTTTCACTGAAAATAATAAAATCTGTGTGGCTTTGGCAGAGGATTTAAGACATACATTTTTTCCTTTTTTCTAACATAGAAGATGTGTTTCCAATACAGCCGAAGTTTATGAAGCCCATGTAATTATTCTATTTGTTTTGCTGGAAGCAAAACTTCTTTGCTAAAAGATTTAATTCTCCACTGTTGAATGTGGAACCTGCTTACATTTTAACATGAGGTTAGGCATCAGTTGCATGTAATGATAGAGGAGTCTTTAGTTTGAAGAACAGAATTAAGTTCAGGATAGAAAGCATTTTGGTTTTGTGCTGGACAAGATGAGAACAGAAGACCTAAAATACAGTAAAACAAGTTCTTAAGCCCTAGGAAACCTTTTCTGAAAGCAGGTATGATGAAACAATGTAATATATGATGTGGCAAAGGTTGTCTTCATCACTGGAAACTAAGAAAAGAATGAGACAGCCATCAGGTGTAGCATTGGTCCTGCTTGGATCAAAGAGAAACACTGTATGGTTTTGTGAACTCCAATCTACAGCACCATTTATCATTATATTTGAGGGACCAGTGTTGAAGGTATTGTTGGTTGTTTGCATGATATTTCTTCTCCTCTCTCCCCTTCATGAATGTCATTGTAGATTTTGTTTAAAAGTTTAGACATTTATGCCTCAAAATACAAACTTCTAAATATGGCTTTATATATTTTCTTCAACAAAATTAGGAGTATGTTCACCTATGGAATAGGTGGAATATTTCTACTTATTCCCCCTAACCTTTTGTCTCAGAGGGTATTAATTAGATTGTATTTGAAATCAAGAGCTAAAATGGACCACTTCATCCTTTTTTAACAGAATGGTTAAGGTGATTGTGTGTAACCAATGGACAGTAGAACCCTATTTCTCTGTGTCAGTGGTTTGTGGAAATGGTTTTGATCCTTGAACTCTCTACAGTGTCATTCATGTAATTTGGAAGGGTCAAAGTAGTTACTGGTTTTTAAGATGCTACTTTGCCAGTAAAAGTAATTTTATTGACCCATTTATACTAGTAGAAAAATACTTCCAGCTGTATATATGAATTTGTGATATACAAGTCTTGTTAGTTGCACTAAACCAGAACCAAAGCAATAACAGCAAATTTCCTTTTCTACTTCTTTAAGTTCCATCATTTGAGGAAGTAACATCCGTACAACTTGCATGGCAAACTGACCTTGCCTTAACAGGGGCTGCTAAAAGTTTTTTGGTAAATGAACCGGTCTGGTAGAGAGCTTAATCCTTCATATACTTCTCTTTTGCGCTCTCTTTTTGTACTCTAGGACACTCAAAATATCCAGTCCCTACAAATACCACTGTGCCCTTGCACCACGACTGCCCTTTTTTTATTCTCTTCCTACCTCCCATCCCCTATCCCCCTATTTATTCCAAGCTGTTTTGTTTGGGTTTTTTGATTGTGTTGTTCAAGATCCTATGATGAACTGCAGAGCTTATTTAAGTTTGTAATATAGTCACAAATGTCCTCTAATGCCATTAAAAATGTTCTTCCTGCTACTACTTCCTTTAGTATGTTTTTTTTTACTGTTTTTTTCATTGTGTCTCGAAATTTCTGCTTTTTTTTTTTCCTTGTAAGTTGGATGCTATGTCTTTAGAATGGAGAAATTTGTTTTCAACATCCAGTCAGGAAAGCACCTAGGCATGAGGTTTAAGGGCAGAATCTGAACTCATTCAGCAATGGCTTGTCATCATAATAGCATCTTCCCCAGACTGATTTAAGATTGCAGCCAGTGATAGTCACTTAATAATATATAGTATGGCTTTTATTTACCATCTACGTTTCTTATGTTACAATCAATTGTTGTGTGTATTAGCAGTTGGAAAAAGAGCAGTTGTATAGACTGGTAGTTTTTGTATGCTTTTGGCCTGAGAGGTTAGCTAGTGGAGATCTGAGCAAATAAAACCAAGGAGCACAGCCCAGGGGTTAGTTCATGTACAACAGGGTCAGCATACTTGCCCCAGAGCTGGGTTAGATTTGTTCTGAGGTGCTTCACTGCAGTAGGAATCAAAACAGTATGTTTGCTATCATCTGGTCACTGCCACCTGAACAAGAGACAAAGCTCAACAGTTATCTATGACCTCATCATAAATAGATAACAGAGAAGTTGGAGCTGCCACTTGATCCAGTTAAGGCCTGTCCTGATTTCGTGTTGATTTTTATGGTGCATGCCTTTCACAGTTGTGTTGAATATCTCCATTTACATTTAAAATAATGTACAGTGTAATAACTGCATTAGGTCTGCCTTATATTGTGTTTCCAATTCTTTTCAACCATGTAAAGAAGTAAGTTATTACATGTTTGTGTTGTACTGTGGCTCACAGTCACTCAACATTTAATGAAAGGGAGCATGTTCTCAAAGCTCATACTCAATGACCCAGTTAATTCTATCAAATGCTCTTTAATATTTGTAGAGGATATCAGCATATTAAGGGCTTTGACTGAGTGCACTGATGCATTAACATTTTCTTTAACCCTTGCTTTGGAGAGAAAAAGAAACTAACTACTAACAACCTATTTGCTCTTAAAACTTCTGAAAGGCCTACCTAACTGTTCAGATAATGCTAATGTCCCTGAAATTTTTGTTATTTGCATGTTCCATAAATAAAACCCTTTTCCTTATTGCATGGATGGGAAAAATACCTCAGAAAGGGAAATATTAGATAGTTGTGCAGAGTTTGTGTAAACATTTTGCTATTCACCACTAAAACATTATATTTTAAGATTGTTGTATTACAGTTGTACTATTACGATTACAAAACATCCCAATAAAATAAGCAACACGAGTCGAGTCTGTAATATAGTATATAGAATTCTAAATTAAATGAACTTTTTCAAGAAAAAAAAAATCATATTATACACCAATTTTCATTCTCAGTTCAGGTCCTTTTTGTTAAATTTAATTATGTAACATAATGACATGTACTATGGGGATAAAGAGAAATGAACAGAAGAGGAAGTTGGCTGCACACACTTTCAATATATATTTTCAAATGATAAAAGATTGCCCAAGTACTTGTACACAAATGTGTGTAGCTTAGTTGTAGCTAAATAATTTACCTGTACTCTTTGACTGCATTCCAAAAAAGGTGACTTTATGCCCTGGAATTTTTCTTATAGTTCATAGTTCTACATATTTACTGAGATTACATTTTTCTGTGCAAAGA